CTGTGTGACCAAGAACTAGCAGCAACTGATCCCTCCTATCCCCTATGTCCTGCTACCTCCTAACTCAGGCATGACAGAAACTGAGATACACACCTGATAAAGTTACCAGTTAACTTCATGGTGTAACCAGTTAATAAAACCAAATGTCTTCTTCCTTCAACACTTCCCTCACTCTCAGTGTGTTCTCTGTTGTGTCAACTGAAAAATATGCCAGCCTCACGTGACTCAGCCCAGAGAGAATGAAACTGTACACTGACTTAAGGAAAAATTTCTGATGAAAATACAGAGCTCCGCTTACCAGGCAGGGAGATATGAAAATGGAAACACCCTTTACTATTTAATTTGAAAATAGATCATCATCTAAGCCATAACAGGAGTTTTATTACATCAACAACTGGTCTCTGTTGAAAATAAGTTTCTGGGTTGCCTTTCAGCATGGGCCCTTTGAATGAAGAAAATCCAGAATGACATTCCAGTGTACAGAAATATAGATGGGTGGACACATGGAGAGAGGAAAACATTTCTAGATAGTCTCCTTTCCTTTCCTAGAGCCCAAACTGGAATCATTTAGTGTATACTATTTTGTAACTAAAATAGGTTGTCTTTGCTGTATAAAAAGCTGGAGTTGACAGCACTAATTATTCCTCACTATTTCCTTTGATCATGGGTGATACAAGTGATAGAGTCATTGATGTTAAGTAAACATATGTTTTCTCCCTTCAGGCTGATATTGGAAGACTTCTCCTCTTTCTGGATGTATTATGATAATAATTGCAGCTAAGAAGTAATGTACTTTTTATTGACATGGCCAGATGGAGCCGTTACTTTTACAAAGACACATGGGTGTTTGGATTCCAAGATCCACATGGCATCTTCTAATTATTGGGCAGTTTTTCAGCAGTCCTGAGACTTTTAGGCTATAAATAGTAGCTTCTTTCAGTTGCAAACATCTTATCCTGTTGCTCGGCTCTTTCTGAGTTGAAGTCAGCTTTTTTTTTTTTTTTTAAGAGTTTATTTATTTATTCATGAGAGACACAGAGAGAGAGGCAGAGACATAGGCAGACGTAGAGGCAGGCTCCCTTTGGGGAGCCCAATGCAGGACTCGATCCCAGGACGTCAGGATCACGCCCTGAGCCAAAGGCAAGACACTCAACCACTGAGCCACCCAGGCGTCCCTGAAATCAGCTTTTAAAAGGGACATTATCTGATTCCCTGTTTTTGTTAATGGTGCTCCCAAGTGAACCAATGAACATTTATTCATTATTTACTTTCTACTTTTCTCACTTTATCTTAGGCCTATGGGTAGGATGAGATTAGACTGAAGAATGAGAAAAGGGGCCACCCTCATTTATTCAGGTGTTTGCTCATTCATTCATTCTGCAGATATTTATTGAGCACCCACTCTATGTAGGTGTAAGTACTTTCCCTTTGAGGAGCATACAATACAACATGTGATAGATACAAGTAAACCAGCAAGTGGTCTAGGAGCATTACATAGAGTCCCCTACTCAGCCTTAAGAATTAGAGAAGGTCTGTATATGAGTTGGCCTAGTGAAGAAGGAAGGTGGTAGAAGGGAGTACCCAAGCAGAGAGCATTGCCTATCTAAGGTCTGGAGAAGATGTCAATGACCTTTCAGAGGACTTCAATGATATTAGTATTAGAGGAATATAGAGTACAAGGGTGGGTTTTGTATTGTCCAGTATTTGATAGTACAGTGTTGTTTAATACACACACACTCCCTAGAGTATCCTCCCTAGATAGGGAATATATTCTTGAGTCCACCATAGGCCCCACCCCTTTCCATTGTTCTGCTCTATACTGATTTATTTTATTACCTGCCCAACCTATGTAGGTGTTTGAATAGGGGCTTTTCTACCTCTGGACCTACACAAAGATCAAATTCAGATGATCTCAGTTGCCATTTCTGGTATAACAGGAAAGGAGACTAGCTTTCTGATGGGACTCCAAGGACCAACCCAATGAAAGATCCTACCCATGAGATAAGACCAGGACAGTTAGTCAGATACATTAAAAGAAGGGTCCCCCCCCCCCAGGGAAGAAAATGAAGTGTGAAAACAAAGATTTATTGAAATCCTATCATGTGACATGTACTATGCTAAGTTCTTTTATTTCAGGCCTTTTATAAAAGATGATAGTAATTTAAAAGGTCATACGTTCATATATGAAATTAAACTTACACTTTATAAAGTGATCTTTTAAAAAATATTTTATTTATTTATTTATTTGCCAGAAAGATAGAGCCAGAAAGCATAAGAAGGGGAATGGCAGAGGGAGAGAGAGAGAAGGAGCCCCAATTCAGAGCTCTGTCCCAGGATTCTGGAATCATGACCTGAGCCGAAAGCAGGGACTTAACAGGCTGAACTACCCAGGTGCCCTATAAAGTGATCTTGTGTATCTCCAAATATCTTATATTTGAGAATATAATTTCATCTATAATGCAATCAAATTTTCACCACTATTGAACGTCAATTATGTGTTAGGTACTGGACCATAGTGGGGATACAGAACAGATAGAGTCACCGCCTTCTTCACTGCTGGGGACTTCCTCAGAGCATGGACAATTGTCTCTATCTGGTCCTCGGAGCTGTCAGCTTTGAGTCACCGTAGGATTAAAGGAAGTTTTTGAAAAATACATCAGAGTTTGTAATCTTGTTGAACTGTAACAAATTTGTGTATTTAAGATTGATTTGGATCAAGCCAACCCTTCTTGGAATGAAAATTGCAGCCATTAGGTAAATCAATAGCAAACACTTCTGTTGGTAAATCAGGGGTGACATTGTCTTCCTAGGACTTTCCTATTGTTGGTTTAAGGTTTTGAATACCTTGCTAAACTGACTTTAAAAAATAACTCCTTGGTCCTCACAATAGAAATTGAGCCAAAGCTGGTTTGCATGTTCATACTTGCATTTGGCATGAGTCATGAGAAATGAGGATATTTATTTCCCAAGAAAGGAGGAGAATCTGAGTTAACTTTGAATCCTTCTCTGTGGCCCAGCATAGTGCCTTAGGCAGCCTGTTGCTCAATAAATATTTGCTAATCCAAAAGCCACTTAGCCAGAGATCTCTTTCTACAAAGAAGGGTCCTCTTTGCCAATCTGTCAGAGGGTCTGCCTTGTTGAACTGCCCTATATATTGGAAGCTTTGCCATGGAGAACTCTATCAGAGAGTAAGGAACAGGTTGTGCTTATATAACCCCTTGTTTGCCAGGTATGACATCCAGGTAAAATGAGGCTGGAACACAGACTTCTTCCTTCTCCCAGGCTCTACAGTTGGCCTGCTGGTTGTTCTCCTGGTTCACATCTGGGAAGCATCACTGAGCCCTAGTGAGAGAAATGCAGTTTCAACATTCTGATTGTGGCCACGCTGGAGCAAGTAGGGCAGCCACAGGTAGAGAATGATGCAAATTTGTGCATCTGGTTGATAGGCATCTGGGGAAAAATTAGAACTGTAAGAGAAGCCCACCAGAGGACAGAGGATCCCAAGTTAATGATTGTAATGAAGCAGAAGTAAAGACAAAAACAAGAGCTCATGGGAGAAACCAGGAGGACTTTGATGAAGCCGAAAAGAAGGTGGAGAGGAAATCCTGAGTTGTCGGAAATTCAGAGAGGCAGCCTCATGTTCTGTTTGTGAAAAACTGACGAGTGGTTAGGTCAAGAGAAGATTCTGAAATGTTTGGGAGCATCTGATATCAAATGAAGGAAACTCTGAATTACAAATAGAAGAAAATGGAAAGTCAAGGCAGTTTTGTGGAAGGGTAGCTTTACAATATTTACATAGAATATTTCAATATACGACAATATTGCACAAAAGGGACCTATAGAAGCTGGCGTGAACGCTGGGATTAATGAGGTGGGTGGAGCAGGGAGCTCTGGTGTGGCTCAGATGAGGCTTTTAGTCGGGGCAGAGCGGGGAAATATGCAAATACTGTGGTTACTGAGAGCTGAGTGGCCCGGGGAACCAACACCGTTGCTGAGCTCTCAGAGGTGGGTTTGGAAAGGCATTTACTCAGAGCATTGCCCAGAAGTGAGCTGGGCTCCCAGAAGCGCTGTAATTTCTTTAGATCATCTGATAGCAGTCTCTGATGTTTACCAGCTTCAGGGAGATCAGGCCATTGTGAAATTTTTTTTTTTTTTTCTGTAATAAAACCAGCCCCAGCCAGCCAGACTGGGAATTTACTGCCTGAGCTGTTTTCCAACATGGTTTTGCTGGCAAAACCAGACAAGAGTGTTTCCTTGACTCTCAAGGGGCCTGTTTACACTGACTTTATTTTTACTGCCAGCTTTCAAGCAGGAAGAGGTAAATTATGTTTAAAGTTCAGGAGGTGAGCAGAAGGGTCCCTGGTCCTGCCCTTTCTGGATATGCCTGTGTGTGTGTGCATGTGTGTGTGTGTGTGTGTGTGCGTGCGTGCGTGCTTTTCCACATGTAAATTATTGTGCCCTGATTTGGTTGATGAGACCTGCTTGTTTTCAGGCAGAATGACGGGTGCCTGACTGGTTGTTTGGCAGTTCCCTATTTGTTTATGGTAAAGAAGGTAAATCAATCTGCGGGATTTTCTGGATTGGAGGGCAAGGAATATTTACTGTCAACAGGATAAGAACAAGGAGATATAAGATACCGGGCTCCAGGATGCATCTAGCATTAAGACAAGAGCTTAAAAAGGTGGAGAAGAAGCCAACTACAGAGCCTTTCTATCTTGAATGGAGCTTTTAAATATTTGAATGGGAAATACAACTTGGAATATTGCCCTTCGGTCAAAGCACCTGACAATAGAGCTTAATTGAGTCCTATTAGGTTGGACTCCAATTCAGTTTCAATTCCATCAACTCTCCTTTTTAAATTCCTTTTTTAAAAAAAAAAATTTCCTGAAAGATGACAGTTGGATGCTCCCGATTTGGAAATGAGAGCTGGAGGGAAGAATTGGAAAGACCAGTCTCTGGTCCATGTATACATCCTGAAAGAAATTTAGCACCGAGACTAACGTTCTTGGGAAACCAACCTGCAAGTACTGTCCTCCACTGACGGACAAACCAAGACGTTGCTGCTCCACTGGGGACTGACCAAGAAGTCATGAAATCCCCAACTGCAGGAGACTTGGAAGAATGCCTCCTGAATAAGGTAAGGACAAGTACTGCTCTCCCACGTTCCCACCTGGCTCCCTCCCACTCCACCAGCCTGGATTCAGAAGGGATTTCAGGCTGCTTCCAAAGATACATAAAATGCTCCTCAGGAACCCAAGACCATCACTCATAAGAGTGTTTAGGGACTTACCTTATTATCGTCTTCTCTCTAAGGTTCTAAGTGCCAGAGGCACGTTGGGTATAGAAAGTTAAACGGGAACAGAAAGTTAGAACGTGGGTTGGAACTCTGGCTCTGCCCCTGATACTGGGTATTGTCACGAACAAGGCACTTAACCTGCCAGAGCTTCAGCTTTCTTCTCTGTAAAATGGGGGTGATAATAGGGCCTTAGAAAAAGAGTAAATGGGATTAAGAATGCCTTTCAGAAACTCTAAAACTGCTCGATTTAAAAATAGATATCATATTTATCACATCAATTAACAGTTAACTGAATTTCTTCTGTAGAGAGGCAGAGACTCTTGGAACGTTACAACTTGAAGGCCCCTTAAATATGATCTCACTTAATTAAGACTTCCCATTTACTGATGAAGCTATTAAGGCCCAGAGCCACCTGTAAAACTAAAACTAAGGTTAGGGATTTGTCTAAGTTTTAGGGACATGCCTTCCCAAGTAAACAAAGTAGAGTTCATTATCATAGTGATAAGTAAAGTTGATTTCTTAAGCAAACCACTTAGATAAATAGGGGACACTTAGAATAATAAAAAGTATAGCCAACAAAGTGACGTCCCGTATTTTCCCTTTTGGGGGCTATTCTAAATGGAAGGGAGGCTGCCAGGCATTTTCCCCATGGACCTGTGTTTTCTGAAAGAAAAAAGTCCACGTTTTTCAGTCTGGCATCCAGTCTTTCCATGATGTTTCCCTGCATCTCCAATAGCAGAGATTCTTAACAGTGCTCTACACATTGAACCAGCCTGTGCACAGGTTTTCTTTGGCCTGCAGAATATTTTTAAATTGCTTCAAATTTGTTACAAACATTTCAAAATAGTGGGATCTTGCACAGAAATCCAGAGTTTCATCTTCTCTGGAAAAAGGGAAACATCAGAATACCTGACAGCCACAGGTCCCAGTTTCTTGCCTGGCAACTGTGGGCTGGGGCTGTTTGTTCAACAGAGAATGTGCTCATGGGTTCTCTGGGAGCCACGCACTCCTGGGTCTGACATCCACCCCCTTCCACCTTCCTTCTCATGTGTGTCCCCGCTCTGTCCCTGTATGTGGTGAGGCTGCCAATCCTGACTCACAAGTTCTAGGCCCTGAGGAGGTCTAAGTCCCAAGCTCCCCTTCTCTCCTCTACCAGGAGAGACCGCCTCTCTTTTCTCCATTTCCCTGGCTCATATTCATCCTTCAAACTCAGCTCAGAGCTTACTTTATCAAGAAAGATTTTCCTGACACCCTAGCACAGGATGTTTTGGCTTCCCTATGAACTCCCATCATGATTATTACTAACAATATTTATTTGGCAATCACTTGTATATTGACTCTTGACACCTTTCCTATTATTATCTCAAGTGACAATTTAAATATTGTTTTATTCTTTCTAAGTTTTTGGAGGGGACAATAATGTCTTGGATGTCATCATTGCCCTTGATATTCACACAGTATCTTTGTACATGTATGGTCAGAATATCTTTAGGATTCATTGAAGATAATATAAGAATAGTGAAAAAGGTGCTGGCACGTTGAGGCCCGGGCAATATCTCATTTAATCTGTCAGCAACCATGCACCATGTGCACAGTCTCTCCATTTTTACAGAGGAGGAAATGGGCTCTTGTAGATTAAATAACTTGTCCAGAGTCACACAGCTGGATAGTGAAAGTGCTGAGGTGTCAGTAAGAAAGTTCTGTTTTACTCCAAAGCCATATTTGCTCTACTAAACCCTCTGTATCTCCACAAACACACTGAGCACATGCTTTGTGCAAAACACTGTGCCCAACACACAAATCTGGGATGTGGCCTGCTAACTGAGAGGAAAAATGTAGTTTAGGGTATCTTTAAGGATGGCCCTATCCTACCTGCAGATTTTGCACATAACTCTGAGGGCAAAAGGAGGATGTTCCTTGTGCAGACAGGAAAATGCTTACTATAACCCATGGCCAACCACAAGGGCTACAACAGAGATTCCCACATGGTGCTAGGGGAGAGCAGAGGAGTGTTAGCTCTCATGCAGGAGGCGTTGCACAGCTAGAGGAGTGGAGACCAAGCTCGAGAGGGCACAGGGGGTTTGAACAGGTGGATGAGTGCGGAAGAGGCCTTCCAGGCTGAGGGAACCCCATTCAAGCAGTCAGTGTGGGTTCATGCCCTGCAGCCTTGTCCCTGGGGAGGCAGAGCCATGCAGTGGTTATGAACATGGGCTGCCAGGCATGGGCAGTGCCCAACACAGATCCCCATTGCGGGACTTACTGACTCTGGAGAGACCCAGAGCGAAGTACTTACACATTGTGAACTTGTGTTTCCTCCTGTGAAAAATGGGGATAATCATAGCACCCACCCTGCAGGATTGCTGGACTGCTCAAGGGAGCTAGCTCTCAGGAAGTGTCCCTCCTGTCTCAGCTCCATAGTGCAACTGTCGCTGTGGTTTCTGTGGAGTCATGCACAATCTGCAGGGCCCTAGCATCTGGCTCAGGGAAGAATGGGTCTGAGAAGATGGAGATTGATGGTGGAAGGCTTCCTATCTCACCTGTATGTAGCACCTACATCTCCATCCTTTTAAGATCATTAACCCTGGAAGACAGAGATGGTGCTGGTCCTGTTTTGTTTTGTTTTTTTTTTTAAACTTGATTGAATTTCATGCAATTCCAGAATTAAATATCTGACTTCCTGATGTCTGGCAGGAAGTTCTCGGCTTTCCATCCCCAGGGACACTCATGGTGGGTGACAGTCTCACAGGGCACATGCTTATGATGTGGCCAGACCTGTGTGACATTCCTGACATGTTCCTTAGCACCGCCCCTCTACCTGTCTGGAGAAAGCAGGTCGGAATGCGAGTGAATCAGAATGGTGTTATTATAGGCAATAACCTTGAATTCTCACTCATTTACATTTGAAACAGTAAATTGTTCTGAACTTGAGCTATTAATAGTAGCAAGGAGGGTGGGGCAACAGCTGCTGGCTGCTGTGGCTGGGGAGGAGGAAAGTGGCCTGGGGCGGGGCTGTGTACGTGTGTATGGGCAGGTGCACTTGCCCCAGAGAGAAGGAGGCCCGCAGAAAATGCATGGCACCCTTCATGGGGGCCTCTGATGACTCTGTTTGCAGAAACCCTGCTGCATTAGAGTACCTGAATCTGCACGCCAGGAAGTGTAGCATAACTTTCCGGGGTCAGTGCGACCCAAGGGAGAATGAGAGGACGGTCCTACACATCCAGCATCATGTGTCCGACTAACTTCATCTGATGCATTTCTGCTCATGCTTTGTCCCATCCACAAATGCAACCTTTTTTTTTTTTTTTAAAGATTTTATTTATTTATTCATGAGAGACACACAAAGAGAGGCAGAGACGCAGGCAGAGGGAGAAGCAGGTTCCCTGCGGGGAGCCCGATGCAGGACTTGATCCCAAGATCATGACCTGAGCCAAAGGCAGACGCTCAACCATTGAGCCACCCAGATGTCCCCACAAATGAAGCCTTTTTTTTTTTTTTAATGAAGCCTTTTAAAAAGAAATGCACTCCTGTGTTCACTGACCTAATCTGCAGCAGAGGGGGCATGTGAAACTCAGGCAGGCACTGAGGTCATGTTTGGACTGAATGTGCCTTGATTCCTTCTTCTGAAAGGACCCTATTTCCCCCTTACATGTGTTTCAAAGCTACACTACAAAATGGGTCTGGTGTTGGGGTTGCCTCAAGGCTGCCGCTGGGTTCTTCCTGAGGTTGGACTGGCATGAAATTCTTCTGGGCTCCTGCCTGCCACGAGTCTCTGCGTGTCGTGGCACCTCCTTCTTTCCCCAACACCACTCCCCATAAAGCTGCCTCAGGCCCCATTCCCTGCTTTTCCACACCCTGAAATGGAATCTTTTTGCCCTACCTCTGCTAGGCTGTGGTCAGGAGGAGTGGAGGGAAGCCACCTGGGGTTTCTGGGTTGTGATTGACACCAAGGGCGTGACAAGTGGTCTGTGGGTCAGAGCCTGGGAAACCTTGAGCGAGTCCCTTCTGGGGCTGCTGAAGAGCACATATTCACAGAAGTGTGTAGAGGTAAGAACTGACTCCAGGTGGCGCTTGGGGGGGCTCAGGTCATGATCCCTGGGTCCTGGGATGAAGCCCTGCATCAGGCTCCCTGCTCTGTGGGGGCCTGCCTCTCCCTCTCCCTCTGCCTGCAGCTCCCCCTGCTTGTGCACGCCCTCTCTCTCTCTTCCCCGCTCTCTGTCAAACAAATAAAATCTTAAAAAAAGAAAGAAAAGAAAAGAATTGGCTGCAGGAAGTATAGCCAGAGATATGTGAGGAAGGAGCAGCTCATCACCTGCAGGGAAGAGACTCCCAGTCGACTCCCTCCCAAGCCCTGGCATGGGCAGGGGGGTGTCCAAAGCAGGGCTCTTCCCCACAGCCCATCCCCTACTATGTTGGCCTGAACAGAAAAGTCAGTGATGCCCAAATAAATGAGACTTTGGATCTGTTATTTCATGAGCCTGGACTTCAATTCAAATAGAGGGCATGGGTAGGTTCAGGAAGAGGATAAAAAGTAGGTATTGCTTCTGGAGCATCTACTTAACGGTCCCACTTGGAGGGACAGAAAGAGCAGTGAGGGAACCTGGACTTTAGGACTAGTTCTACTGCTGACTACCAGTGTCACATTAGGACAACCACCCATCGCTCTGGCCTCTGGTAAGGTGACACCAGACAAGATGGCTTCTGAGGTCTCTTCAAGCTCTAAGCCCCCGAGTCACAATTGCAGTGGTAGTAATGGATAAAGGAGATCTAAACCAGAATTTATGGCTCTCAGCCCAGAAAAGTATTCCCTTATTCTGATTTTTCACTTTCAGAAATCAAAACAGGTCATAAAGATACATGGTGAGTGAGGGATTACAGGTGCCTTCTAGGGAGTGTGTGAACTGCCTCGTTCTGCCCAGTAAGAAAATGTCACCATCAAGTGAGGGCCATTTGTAGAAAAGATTCAGAGTGGAGAATTTTTTTGATCAGCTACTCATCATGTTTGTGTCCATGCACGTGCGCACACATTTTCTCTTGAGCTTTTTATCAGTTAAAATTTATTTGACAGTGTCAGGGTCCCTGGGTGGTTTGGGCAGTTAAGCATAAACTCTTGGTTTTGGCTCAGGTCCTGAGACCAAGCCCCTTGTCCAACTCCTTGCTGGGTGTAGAGCCTGCTTCAGATTCTCTCTCCCTCTCTCTCTTCCCCTTTGCTGAGTCGATTAGTTTATCGACTCAGCAAAATGTATATGCATGTGGAGTTACCACCGTGTTACTGATATTCGAGTTCTATGAACTCAAATCAGTGGAGGAATCGTGGCTGAGCCTTAGCCCTCAACACAGGCTAAGAAATTAGCTATTTGAGAATATTATTTTCTGACTGCAGGGGTCTCTCCAGTTAGCCTTACATTACTTTCTCCCACTGTTCCTGGTTAGACCTCTGGTCCTGGAACTTGTCTGGTGTTCCCTAATCTACTAAGTGACTTTATCCATTCTCTTCCCCCAGCTGGGAACCATGGCCCGCCCCAGAAACCTTCCCCGATTCCTTTATCCTTCTCCAGGTCTTGTGCAGCAAGGACTAACCTTGGCACCTCCGTTGTTCCCCTTGGACGTTGAGGTATGAAGGACACCTTACAACTGAGCCCATAAATATGCCCCAGCTCCATGGACCCCCCCCCACATCTGAGTCTTGGGACTGCCTGGCAGTCATCCCACACGTGCCTGAACAGCCTCTCTTCCTTAGAGATGTGATTTCCAAAGTCTGTCGCCCGGGAGTCCCCCATGTTTTTCTCTCCTCCTCACTCATAGTACAATGTCTTGTCTCCTACTCTGCAAAGAAAACAGTCCTCAGACAAGAAATCTCTCTGATTCCTGCACTCTGACTCTTTTATCTGTGTTTGCTCCTGTCCTTTTTTCCTTCTGATGCACCAAGGTGAATTGCTCACCAGGTTCCTGGATTTGCACAACTCCCTGGCGAGGAAACCCTTACTCAGTGGTTTTGCTCTCTGCTGCCTCTTCCTTCCCCACTGGTTCTTTTCTCTCAGCATTTAAACATGTTCAGACCTGTGTGTCATTTTGAAAAAAAAACGTGTTGGTGTTCCTGTTTTGTTTCTCCCCTTCTCTGGCCAGACTTCCTGGAGGAGGTGCTTACTCTTGCTCACCTCCCACTTACTCTTAACCCACTGCAATCTGGCTTTATGCCTGTCCCTTCCCTGAACACATTGATCCTGTTCTACTTGCCAAATGCTGTGGACATTTTGGGAGCCCTGTCTCACTCAGCCACTTACTGTTGATTCTGTTCTTGAAATTTTTCTTCCATCATTTTTAAGACCTCTTCCTGCTTCTCCCATTCTGCTGTTCTCCTACAAGGCAATCCCTTCCCCAGTAATAAAGGAAACCATTACAATCCTCCCTCTTGTGCTCCTCATACTAGATATCAGCCATTTGCTCTTTCTAGAATGACCTTCACATCCTTCCCTTTCTAGCTAACTCCTACTAATCTTTCAAGCTATAACTCCCCTACACTATGCTTCTAGGAAGGGCCCCCCTGCCTCCAGACTAGATGAAATTTCCCTTTTCTGTGTACCCATAGCATCCTGTACATACCTATACCCAGCACTAGATTGCCGTGACTTTAATTTCCAGTTTATTTGTCTTGCTCTGTCCTGTCAGCTGTAAACCTCTTGACAACATGTACACACAGAACCTGGCATAAATTGTTCAACAAAATTGATCGAATGGAGTTGAACCAGAACACAACGAAGTCCTACACTGCAGGAGACCCTTTATCATGGGCTGCTAAATGTATTCTCCTTTATTTCTGACAGAGCAAATAGTTTTCTCCATCTGTGACCACCTTTTCTCTTCCATGTGGACACTCTGGAAGATGCAGAATCTTGATAGTTTACAAATGCTCAAGAATGATGTCCTGGATCCCTTCTCCCATGATGAATATAGTGGGCGGACGTATGGAGAGTAGTGGGTGGTTGCTGGAGGCAAGAAGATGGTGTTAAAAGCCTATATAGACATGATCATCATATCTAAGGTCACATAAGATGCATGGATTTTGAAAGACTATTTCATGTATATCATGTATTTCCCATGAGATTGTAATCCCTTAAGATCAGGGACCTTGTCTTGTGTTTCTTGTTACTCCTAGGCATCTGGAAGATATTTGTTTTTCAAAAATATCCCTTGTGTGGGGATAGGTACCTTTAAAATATGTCTCAGGCTTCAGACTAGGCCACCTGCCCTGTTGTATACCCAGAGGCACCCTGCACTTCCCTATTATGGCCCTCATGCTTATATTCAGTACTTACACTTGTCTTCCCTACTCTAGTAAGCCGTGGCTATGTCTGTGTTATTCATTGCCGTGTCCCAGCATGTCACAGAGTACCTGGCACACAGAGGTGCTACATAAATGTGTATTAATGAATTAACTTGATATATGACACACCTTACTCCTGTGACAAACAGCATGTGTGCATATGCACATTTGTGTCCTACGTCCATCTATGGTTGTTGGTGGATAACCTTTCCAACCTTTCCAACCATGGTAGAAGGTATGAAGTCTCAGGTGACTAGAATAGCTGATGAGTTAGTTTAGAAAAACAGCTGGAATTCTCTTTGACTTGGACTTTTTTTCTTGACTAATGTATGGGTGCCTTAAACCACTTGAGAATACATAGAAACAGCCATTATACAAAACTCAGGATATAAAGGTTCACAGTGGCCACTGCATTTAGATATATCAGATATTGCTTCCCATCAGTTCCTGGCCAGGCTTAGCAGCCTTTCCAAGGGGGGAGCACTTGTCTTGGCACCAGTCTGCAGGTGCCACCTCAGCAACAGAACGGAGGCCCTCCATTTCAGAAAACACTTACAGACTCTTCCCATTTCTTCTTCACTTGGATCTTTCTAACTCTCCTGAGCTTACTAAAAGTTCCTACGTGTCCCCCACGAACACCTCTTTTCCCTAAACCTTGAGTAGCTGTAAAGGTATATAATGTTGGTTCTCACTTTCTGGCAGTAATTCCGTTTCTTGGGAACTTGCAATGTGGAACCTGAAGGAACATAAATGCGCGCCTTTTCTTGTGGGTCTAGTAGCAAAGAAAGGGTGAAGGGAGCCATCCTTTATGAACAAAAAAGCATGAAAACCACCTGTGGCAATATTCCACATGTCAAACTGCTTAATCTTCATGGGATTTGTCATACCTGATGTTAGGTTATACAAACACATACGCGTGTGTGCATACATACGTATATGTATGTGTTTATGCACGTTCGTGTACACACACACGTTTCCTGTCTATATGAGGACAAGTCTATCTTGTTTGCTTTTTTCATGTTCACCATGTGCTCTAGCACTCACCACATTTCAGTACTAGATAAATGCTAGATGAATGTTTTTATATCTGAGGAGGACACCAAGCCACCAGCAAGTGCCATCACACCTTGGTGCATGTCCCCTGGGCTTCTTGGGAGGGCAGGCTCATCTGAACGGACTCCTGTGGTTGCCCACCACCTGGCCTGTCTGGTGATGTCCTTGTGCCAGGTCCTGGGCCCTGCACCTGGGAGTGACCACCTATGCTGATCCCCTCACACCCAGGTGGGCTTGAGGCGCCAGCGGATCTCCCAGATTGTGGAGGAAGTGCAGAGGGTTGTCCACCATCTGACCACAGAAATCAGCCACCAAGACATTCGATTCCAGGCCGTGCCTTATTCTGACACATACAATGGGAACATTAAGGTAAGCAGGTCTCACTTGTTCTGTAAGCGCCACCCAGGGAGCCAGGGAGTGTGGGAGGGCAGGTCTCGGTGTGCCACAGGCGACACACCACCCAGAGTACCAATAATCCTTCATGTTCCATAGGTCCTCTGAGTATTTACCACCTACACACTTGCTCGCTAGGTGCTGTGTCATGTGAGCCTCCACGTTCCTACTTTACGGATGATAGAATGGAGGCTTCGAGAAGTCAGATAACCCGAGCATGTCCCATTTGGCACTACAGCCAGAACTCAGCCCGGGGCTTCTGATTCTAAGCGCGTTGTGCCGTATTAACTAAAGTTTAGTCAAGCACACATTCATTTAGGCAGCACCTGCTTAGTAGACTGGGGGCTGGGGAGAGGGAACCGGAGGCATTGGTGAGAAGATTGCTGAAAGCGAGAGTCTATGGGTTGCAGGTGGGGGAAGGAAGAAGTGGAAGAGGCCTTAGAAACTGCAGGGGCAGCTTCGCAACCCCTGTCCTTGCTGCAGACAGAACTCTAAGTCACCAGGCCAAGCATGACAGCCAGCTTTCCTGCAGCTCTGCTGTGTGGGCCATGCTGTTCTTGCAGAAATGGCCTACCTCATGCCTGCAAACAACCTTGTGGAGCAGACTTGGCTCGTTGCCTCTCAGAGCTGAGGGAAGTAGGACTCTGGGTCATTCTAAGTTCCCATGCTCCTTTATCTCACTTTTTCTTCTGGCACACGAGAACCCCTTTCACTTGTATTAAATATGTATTCATGCCCTATCTCTCACACATGATTACAAGCCCCTTGACTGCAAAGATCATGCTTATTGAGTGCTCCATTGCTAGCACCCAGTGCATGGTGTGTGGCCCATGTAGACATTCAACTTCAGTGAATGAATGAATGAATGAATGAGTAAAAGAAATAGTCCCTGAACTGAAGACCCTTGCTGGTCTAGAACATACCAAGGTCGTTGGGCATAAGGACCACCCACAAGATTCTGGGACCTGTGGATTTGGGGACAGAGCACAGATTTTGGGAAATTCACCCAGGGTGAAAATTCTAAAACTTAGATTGAATCCTGACATATGACAATATCGTTTGCCCACTTCTATCACTCTTCTAAACTGCATTAGACCAATAGAGACCAGTGACTAGGAGCAGAAACATAACATCACTTTTTTTAAAAAAGGATTTTTATTTATTTGAAAGAGAGAGCAGAGTGAGAGAGAAAGAGCATGAGCAGGGATAGGGACAGAGGCAGAGGGAGAAGCAGACTCCCCACTGAGCAGGGAGCCGGAGGACATTGGGCTCCATCCCTGGACTCTGGGATCGTGACTTGATCATGACCCGAAGGCAGATGCTTAAACGACTGAGCCACCCAGTGGCCCCACAACACCACTTTTCCTAGAATTATATCTGAGGAAATTTCCTTCTGTGACCTCACTTAGAATTCATAGGTTAAAATATATCTCACATTTATATACATCACGTCCTGCATATTAAATTTTGAAAATAATTGGAGTGGGGCATATAAAAATTGCTTTTATCTTGGACCAAATTCACCAAGTACCAATTAAACATCATTTATGTGACTATTAACATAACAGTCATACACTCGAATTTACAATTAAGTGAGTTCAAATAATGTATTGATTTTGAGTGCTAATGTTTAAATTTGTTCCCTTTTTTTAATCCCACCACCTTTCTGTTGGCACCAGAAGTCATGTGGATCCATTGTCTAAAGCATCACACTGCTGTTCTCTGACAATGAGGCAGAGTTTGGTGTTGACCCGTGAATTGGCCAATGACAGGCCCTGAGCAAAAGTTAACCAAATACCACGGTCAGAACTTTCCATGAAAAGGAGGTGGCTCTTCCAGGGTATAGCTCACTGATGGGAAAAAGTGCAGTATGGTGTGGGCTGCCGCGTGATGTGGCCAAAGGTCAAGCTCCCCCTGGGGCTGGCACATTGCTGGCCAATTTGTTCTATCCTTTGGACTGTTGGCCTGACCACTTTCAGCCTGGCCTCTACTTAACTGGTACCTGTAGAAATGGAGTAGGGAGATGCTGATTGTGTGCTTTATCCCATTAAATTCAGAATCATCTCAAAGGTTTATGTGGTCTCAGCAACTGCTTTTCGTTTCACCTGTGATTTTATAAGGATCGATCATCAATACTGGCCATGAGTCATCAGATCAGGCAAAAAGAAAGGGAGATATTTTGCAGAATCCTTTCATCTCCTCCCATCCCTTCCCTTACCCAATCCAGATCACTCCTCCTTGACTAAGAGCCAGCCCAGCATAGGAAACAGCCACTGAAGAAGCCATCAGAGGGCTTAAGCCCACATTCGTGCTCTACCACTTACTGGCTGTGTGTCCCCAGGAGATCTCAGAGCCCCTCTGAGCCTTAGGTTCCTCATCTGGGAAATGTTAACAAAGCCCGCCTCACCATGTAGCTGGGAAGACCACCTAGTCTAATGCATGAGAATTGCAGTGCTTTGTATGTGTTGAGCTCCCTGTATACTATTTCCTTTCCCTGCTTTCTCTTCTCCCCCTAGACGTTAGGTGCCCTCTAGAGTCTCAGGTCAGGTTCACTCTTTCCCTTGCAGATTCCTTACACAAAGGACTCAGTGAATTTACTCATCTGTCTGAAGCATGACAGTGGTTAGTGGCAGAACAAAGATGGAATCCTCCTGCAACAGGCAGGCAGGTGCAGCCCTCTGTCCATCTCGGCGCATTGCTGAGAGTTGAGTAGTTCACTGAGCTCCCTGGTTCAGCTGGTTGGCTCCCTGAGGATTTCTGTTACCTCCCAAGTCCATGAACTCACACTCCTCTCTACTTTCTTGATGCCAGGTGTTGGCCCCCAGCCAGTTCCTCGTCACTGTCCCAGTGAAGGGCCTGGCTGGGTACAGGGAGGCCAGGGAGCAGCGCTGGCGGTACTACACCCTGCAGGGCACCAGGCTTTCCTGCCCCTTGCAGGACCCGGAGGGCCTGCAGCAGTGGCTGGAGGTGGAGCAGTTTATGAAGAGCCTGTGGCAGTGGCACAAGGCAGATGTGAACATAGAGGGAGATATCGTGCCTGCCAAGGTGCTCCAGGTGTTCCGGAAGCTGGTAGAAAATGCAATTGGAACCTGTCATCTCTCAGGTGAGCTGATCAAGAAAAGTACAAGGACAATTTCTGGCATTTCCCATTTGCTTTAAAAAACCTCTGCTTAGGTGTCACCGGAAGCTCATGCCCCTAAATTAAGATAATCCCCATGTGCTCCTTACATCTGTTCACTCCTCACAATATGAGTTAGCTCTTTTTTCTGCTTTGACGCTGAAGAATGGAATCCATATAACATCCACTTGGATTTCCATGGATTATTGCCCCAGCAGAGAAATGATGGGCTTTCAGTTATGCACCAGTTCCCGGATGTTAATTTAAAAACTTGGCTACACGTTTTAAAAAGCAAATTATTCACAAACTACAGATCTTTGGTATTAGCACATTCCTACAACACCCTCCAACTGACTGCAGTACCCTGGTGTATTGAGATGCCGCATTTAAACCACTGATTTGTGCCAAAACACAAAATTGAGAAGCCATAAAGAACCGATAAGTTTGACAATCCCAAAATCTTAAACCGTATACCAACATGTGGCATATGTGCACACGCGGGCACACATGCATTTTGTTAACACAGAATAAAAATGTGTATTTCATGCTGGGTAAAAAGTTGCTAATTTTCTTAATTATAAAAGAGTAGTTGTAAACCAGTAAGAGTAGGAGCCAGCCAATAGAAATAATGACCAGAAAAATGGCTCACAGAAAAAGAATATAAACATGTAGTAGTAAAAAAGTGGGGGGAAAAATTCCATCTAACATATATTTCAAGCAATGTGCATTAAAACACCTAATAGATTGACAGAGATGAAAAAATGTGATCATGCTCAGTGTAGGGGTGAGTGTGGTACAAAAGGCCTTTTCATGCATTGTTTTTGGAAGTGTAAATTGATGCCTACTTTTTAAAGGGCAATTAGTCTGTTTTTATTTTTATAAAGTGCTTCATTTGACAATTCACCAATTCCAGGTCTAGAAATATATTCCTACAGATTAGAAAGAAATATGCATAACGGTGTCCACTGCCATAGGGACTGTGTGAAAGAAAGTAAGTAGACATAATATCAAAAACAAAGGGAAGTTGACAAAATAAATTGTACTACCTCTACCTCTACACAGAGTTGTAAAAAAATTCTGCACTGGATAATGAAGGGACCAAGAGGCAATCCCACGTGTGTAGAAAGAAAAGGATTTGAAAATGTACTTTTACTTGTCTGGACCGTCTGAACTGTTCTGAAAGGTCCCATAATGGAATTAGCCCATGTTTAATGTGTTTTTACCACATAAAGGATGCTTTCGTGGAAAATGTCATGCGCATAGCAACCCTGGAGAGTCAGAGTTATTTTTCTACCTGTTTTACGGATGAGAACACTGAGGTTGAGAGAGAGGAGCTATCATGCATGACCGAGGTTGAGGTCATGCATTGAGTGAGCTGAGCCAGGGCAGAAGCAGGGTGTGGTGGGGCAAGCTGGTTCCAGCATGTGCTGACCTCTTCACTTCGAAACACTGGTAATAGTGAAAGTGCAAATGAGGGCTTGCAAACGGGCCAGGTTGATGAGATGCTTTCAGTAAATAATGCCAGGGTGCCAGACGTCGTCATGTTCCTGTCTGGGCAGCTCTGATGAGCTGCAGACAGTAAGCTCTTTATCGCACCCCAGCCAAGGAGAGGAATGTTTTCCTTTTGAATAGCTTAACGTGATTAATGAGCAAGCTTCCATTTTCTTCTCTGAGCAAACAAGAGAAAAAGAACAGATCCTGATTCAAGACAGCTCATCCTTTTTATCTGTAATGAAGGCAAACAAACAAAATTACTGCGTATCTTTTGGAAGAAGGGGAAACAGATTAGCAACGAATTCTAGTACAGGAACTGGAAGATGCTCCCAGATGCATTTATCTTCTCTCCCTCTCTTTGCCAGGTTGGAAGAGGCAGCAGGGCTTCTTTCCACTCATTCGAGCCTTTCAGCCAGTGGCTATGACACACTTTGAAGTATTCTATAATTGCAAGGGCTTGGGATGACAAATACACCTGAGGCTAGGCTAGCTTAATGGATAGTGGAAACAATGCCATCAGAGAGCCTGGGCGGCAGGGGAGGGACGGGTTAAGCCGAGCTCCACTAGAGGCCGGTGAATGAAGTCAGGGGATGGAGGCTGACAAGGTCAGGACATCTGAGCAGAATGGAGGGGGCACAGAAGAATGGCTGGATTTCATTTTTACTAGCAAATACTCCATCTTTTCTTTGTCTTCTCTGCCTCTTCCATTGAGCCTTCTGAAAAGAATCTATTACTTCAAAGGAAAAGGTGCCATAAAAGCCTCGGGAGTGGGGGAGAAAGGGAAAAGCAACACGCACCAACAATGAGGTTTTCTAGCAACATTTCTACCAATATTTACTCAGCTAATTGTCTAGTTTTGCCATAAACACCCCACCTTTGGGGTGTTTCCGGCCTGTGAAGGTTGCCCCATCACCTGCAAGGAGCTGCTCACAGCTGTGGCTCCCGGATTCCTCCTTAGGACGTGGGCGCTGAGCCAGGCTTCCTCTTCTTATCGCCTCTTTGTCGCTTCCCCCAGGTAAGGTCAGCATGCTCCCACACCACGCTGCAGCTGCAGTTTGGGTTGCCGTGGAAACGCCCACATGTCAGGTGGAACTAGAGTTGGTCCCCGCAGTGGAGATCCCCACGGCCTGGTCTGAGAAAGCTCGGTGGCCTCCCTGTCTGAAGCGCTGGCCTTCCCGACAGAGAGTGGAGTGCATCAAGGTATCAGTGGGCCGGGGCCCAGCTCACAGTGTCACTGTCAACCAGCTTTGGAAGGAAAAATGAGGTGTCACCAGATCAGTGGTTCCCCAGGTGTGGTCCTCTGAATCTGCAGTGACCCCTGAGAGCCTGTCAGAGATGCAGAGTCCCAGGCCCTGCTCTGGACCCCCCGAGGGAGAGCTGGTGGGCAGAGCCCAGCAATCTGTTTTAACAAGCTCTCCAGGCTCAACTTGGAGAACCAGTGCCCGAGAGAAAGTGGGCACAGTCTTTCCAGTTCACTGTGTGCCAGGAAAGGGGTTTGCCCTGAGCCTCCTTCCACATCCCCAAGCGGGAGATACTGCCTGCCTGGTAGCAGCCGCCCCCCCCCCCCCCCTCCCCCCTCAGAGCAGCGCATGGCTTCTGAGACGGCTCTCTACTCTGGCAAGCGTCATCCTTCTCAATGTTCCCCATGTTCTTCTCTTCCCCCAGTCGTTTGGGTTTGCCCTGTTGGCCTGTTCCAATTATCACTGGCAGCTGAGCTTCCTGCAGGCCGAGCAGGTGCTGCTGGAGCAGCTGGATGAGGACGGGGGTTGCCGCAGGAAGTGTCTTCAGGCCCTGAGGCAGGTGAAGGAGGATGTCTGGTGTCCGGGAAAGAGGCCTGTCATCACGTCCCACCATCTGCAGGTGAGCGGATGCGCCCTGGGTATGGGTAAGTGGTCTCTGCGTGCCCTACAGGGCCTGGTCAGGGCCACTCACAAACAGGGTGTGTGTGTGTGTGTGTGTGTGTGTGTCCATGCGACAGATTCTAGAGGGGGCCCTAGTGTCCATATTGGCTCTCCCATGAGTCCCCACTAACTGCTGAGATCTAGAACCCCAGGCCATAGGTGTGCCCACGACAGCCCTGCCCAGGCTGAATGGCACCCGCCTCTTCCCTGTCCTGCTCGCCCTCTTTCCTTTTGTCGTTTCCTCTTTTTCTTCTCTCTCCGTCCCTCCCCTCCTCTTCTTTCCCTCAACAAACCAACACGAATGCCCAAATGCCCGCTATGTGCCAGAAACCCTGCTGAGGTTCAGCCCTGGTTATAACGCGTCTGCACCCCCATCGCTTGAGAAGCCTGGGGCCTGGGGAAATCTTGCAAATGGCTTAAGCCTCAGGTGAATTCATGTTCCCCCCGGTGTTAAGGCTCCCTGGGTCCCCACTCTAGCTGGGTGCGGCCACTGCTGCTCAGTGCGGGGGCAGGGAGGCCTACCCAGAAGTGGTGATCGTCCCATGAGCATGGCTGCAGACCTGAACTTCCGGGTCCCAAATCCTCAGGCAAAGATTTCCCCTCCCTTGGCAGCACCTGCTCCTCTTACCCGAAACCCAAGAGTGTACATTCATGCCTGCCTTTACCACTCAGCTGGGGCCTGACCCTGGCCCCCCGCTCGCACTGTATGTCCTGCCCCTGGAGGTACAGGTAGGCGATCGCAGGAGTGGTTCCTGATCCCGTGGAGCTTATGGTTTCACAGAGGAAACAGTCAGATGGTCCCCCTGGTGCATATGGAATCACACGGCGTGGGGAGCCCCACGGAGGACGGGAGCGTCGTTCTGTGAGGACCCAGAGCAGCAGAATCTGACCTGGGCTAGGACATCTGGGGAGTCCCCCTGGGAAGGTGGCCTTCCATCACACCCTCAACTCCTCTTCTGCACATAGTGACCTGGACATTCCTGAAACATGCCATGTGACACACACAAACCGAGGTTGCGAGGTGGCAGACATAGAGACAGCACAGGCCAAGCCTAACTAGTGTCTGCTCAAGAGCTTCGCTCCTTCTCCCTGACCTTCTACACAGGTGAGCACAGGGCACCTGTCTGTGCGATGCCTCCTTTGCAGGCTCCTGCTTGTACCCCTCTCGTTCAGGGGACCATCATCTGCTGGCCCCGTATTACTCCAGTTCCAATGTAAGCTATTTAGGGGCAACCACTACTGAACCCTTAGTATCTCTCCCAGTGCCGTGTATGTGGTAGTTACTCAGTAAATATTTGTTGAGCGAACGCTTTCACGTCATATTCAACTTTGTTCCCCCCGGAGGCAGGAGGCTTTGCTTTGCTTTCTTCTCTTTCCTCGTAGCCTGCCCTCCTTGACCTGCCTGAGAATCTGTGAATGTCTCTCTGCCTGTACTGAGGCCTTTCTCTAGAGTTTCAATATTCCCGACATGTGCTCACGCATGTTCCCCTAAAAACACCCACCTGTTCTGGACTGAGGACATGTACTTTCTGAGACTCTAATTCATTCTGAGGGTTTGGCTTTTTGCTTGCGTACCTTTCTACAGGCTACACTAGGAAAAGTCAGAGTTGAGAAGCAAGTTACATTCTACCTTGTATTGAACTTAATGATCTTAACCATTGACTTCATTGTCTTGCAATTAAGATGGATGGAAACATATTAAGTGATGTGAATATTTTAGACAAGATTGTATAGGGCCACCACAGGCCTCCCAGCCCTTGACTACTGTCAAAACTGCGTTACACCCAAGAGTTTACTTTTATTCCGGTAACTTCTCAATCACTGGAGGGCTCTAGTGCAACTCCTTAAATGTACTCTGTTTCTGTTCTCCCTAACTCACCAACAAGGCATAGAATTGTGCATTCTCAAGAGTGGGTATTGTAAAAGGGGGGTTATGTGTTAGGACAGGACAGAGAGAAGTGGTACTAGCTGCCTGTTTTAGCCTTCCGTCCTTGGTCCAAGGGCAGGATGCCCTCACATTTAGACACTGGGATGGACATGGTTGGTGACAATGTGGCTTTAGATACCATCCCGGATGATGTCTGGAGTGTAAGGGATCCTTGCCAAGCCTTCAGTCAGGGGAAAGTGGAAGAGATTGGGTTGCAAAACGGCATCAGGAAGGAGGTACCAGTCATCATCACCCTACCTTCAGTCTGACACAGTCTGATGAGGTTCTCACCTCCTCCCCCAAGTGCTCTCCCCCAAAGCAACTTCATGCGAACAAGAGCTCATCCTTCATTGGTTTATTTATTCCTAAGACTCACTCAAAGGCACAGGGGCTTGATTGTAAGAGGCTTAACTGCTTTGGTATGCTTAGGGAGATAAAACAGGAGAAATTAAAACACTTTTTTGTGTCTAGGTTCTCCTGATAGCATGATATTATCTCCAACTCATTTACTTGGCACGATGTGATCTAAAAACATACTCCGGATCTTGCTGTGAACCTAAAACTGTTATTTTCTTCTTCTTCTTTCTTCTTCTTCTTTTAAGATTTTATTTATTTATTCATGAGAGACACACAAAGAGAGAGAAAGAGAGGCAGAGACGCAGGCAGAGGGAGAAGCAGGCTCCATGCAGGGAGCCCGACGTGGGACTCGATCCTGGGTCTCCAGGATCAGGCCCTGGGCTAAAGGCAGTGCTAAACCACTGAGCCACCCGGGCTGCCCTGTTATTTTCTTCTTTAGTAAAGACTATATTCTAAAAATGCTCAACATCTAAATCATAACATTATTTCTTTTACTTAGTCAATAAACATTTTTGACTACCTCTTGTGGACCAGCTCCTCAGCTGGGTGCTAGTGACATGATAGTTATTAAAATAGGTATCGGCCTCTTCTTTCATGGAGTTTACAGCCCAGCAGGGGATTGCACAAATAAATACAGAGGTGACAACTCCTGTGATCACTGGTGTTCTGAGAAGTATATTGTGAAGAAAGTGTGTAATGGTATCATAGGGAAATTTGATCTGATGGATGAGTGTGTCCTGGACAAATTGGGGAAGGAAGTATGTTCCATGCACCAGAAGTCAGATGTGAAAGAAGTCACCCTGTGGTAGAAGAGAGCATGATCCGGGGCCAGCGGGGCTGGAAGGAGAGAGCCAGGGAGGAATGAGGACAAGTCAAGGCTGGAGAGGAACACAGGGACCAAACCTTATAAACCACACTGTGCAAAGGATTGTGGGTTTTGGTTAACCAGCCAGAAGAAGGCTTTAAGGTATTACAGACAAGAAGAAAGATTTATATTTCAAAAAGATCACATTGGCTGAGGCGTGGGTGGTGACAGGATGGTGACAAGAATGGGGGCTGAAGTCCAGGTGAGGTGGAAGAGGAAAAAGATAGTGGAGATGAACATACGTGTGTCAATTTGAGAACCACTTTGGGGGACTGGCAGGGCTTGATGACGCTGATGAGGGAGGGGTGACTCCCAGCTCGTGACTTGCATGACTGACTGACCAAGCAGCTGGAGACATTACAGGTTTGTGGGGTGAGGGGCAGGCCGTGAGTTCAGTTGGGACACGTTGGTGGAGATAACTTTCAGATTTCCAAGAGATAGCAGGTGAGGAGGTCAGAGGAGAAGTCTGTCTTGGAGAAAGAAAATTGCAAGTGACTTCTGTGTGTGTGGTGGGGATTCAAGCCACTGAGGAAGGAAATAAGTGAGCACAAAAGAAAAAGAGCGAGTGGAACTGAGCCTCCAAAACCCTAGGATTGAGGCAGGTCAAGGGGATACCATACCAAGGAGTGGCTGCAGTGCCTGGAGAAATCCAGAGAGCACAGTGGCTTGGAAGCCAGTGAAGAAGTGCTCAAGAGGGAGGCTGTGAGTGGGAGAATTCGATGCTGCTGGAAGGTCAGGTGAGCCCAGGGCCGGGTGAGGCCTGTTGGATTTAACCATGTGGAGATGGTTGGACCTTACAGACAGTGGCTTCTGAGGCCTGAAGGCAAAAGAATCCACGTTGCAGTGGACTGAGGTGAGAATCAGGGGCAAGGAAATGACGACAGATAATTTGAGAAGCCTGCACTTGCAGAGTGGTGAGAAGTTAGGAGGGAGATGGGTCCTGTGTCAGGGAGTAGGGCAGGAGAGCTTAGAACAAGTTCAAGAGCCTGCAAGAAAGAAGGGAGTCAGTCACAGACAGCTCTTGGAAGGAGGGGCTCCCACCCCCACCCCCACCGCATGGGCTTCCCCCACCCAGGTGATGTGGTCAAGCAGAGAAGAGAAGATGCCCGTGTAGGCAAAACTGTCTAGAACTATCTGGTTTGCTGTCATGAGGGTTTCCATTTTCCCTGTAAAGGAGGCGAGGGATCTGCCCAGGGTGGGGGGGTCACAGATTCAAGGAGAGTGGTGGTCCCCAGAGATGTCAGTGGCCAGAAGACAATGAGCAAAGGAGCGCAGGAGACCAGTGGGACAGGGCCGAGAGCCCTCCACGGGTGGGGATCCTAGAATCACAGCGGAACCTCCCTGCCCTGGGTGACTCCCTCCCTCCTTCCAAGGCCCTGTGAACTTGGTGATGTGTCTGAAGATCCTCTCCTCTGGTGCCCGGTGCAATGTCTGATGCCACCTCTTCCTTCCACAGACGGTGCTTTTTTGGACTTGCGAGAAATATCCCCACTTGAAGGACTGGCAGGTCTTCGGCAAAGCCTTCCTGCGCCTGGTGAGGAAGCTGCACAAGTGCGTGAGCCAGCACTTCCTGAAGCACTACTTCGTGCGAAAGAGCAATCTTTTCCGGTCTGCCAACTGGGGCGAACTGGATGCCGTGGCCCAGCAGCTGGCCCTCTTCCTGAAGAACCCCCAGATCAGCCTGCCCTGAAGCTGCCTGCAGCCTGGGAGGCTCTTGGACCCTTGCTCCCGGCTCGACCTCATCCTTCCCTGTAGGATCCTGCCCAGGAGAGAAGCAGCATATGGCCCAGGGTGCCCTGAGCAGCAGCACTTAAGAGAGGAACACTGTCCCTCAAGATTTCTGGGCCAGGCCTCTCTGGAGCCAAGCAGGTATCTCAGCCCTCACGAGCTACCTCCCTCGGGGACAGCTGTCATCAGGCTTCCCCAAGCCACCAATTCTGAGTTGATGACAGCACTGAATGTATTACCCCCCACCCCCACCCCAGCTCAGGCCCTGATCGTCTGCTGCAGAGGGTGGAGACGGCCCGGAGCGGTTCTAGAACAGGCTTACTAGTGTTCCATTTGTAAAATGCAACCATGAGCATGCTTTTCCCGGAGCAGGGCTGGGATCTGTTATTCTTGGTTGGTAGCTGGTGTTTGCCTCCTGGAGCAGCCAACACCACATAATTAATTAAATGATGGCATCTGATGGGTTGCGTCGGTATGCCTGGGTTGACCCTGCTGCCCTCCAGCCCTCCCGGACTGTGGCTCCAGGCTTCTGCTTCTGTCTGCTTCCCTGGTGTTCTTGAAGTAGGGAGAGGGTGGTTTCGATGACCAGTGTGGGTCAAAGATGAAAGGGCATCTCCGTTTGCCAGTGGCTCCCCTTTCCTTGTGCTCCGGGGCCAGGTATTCTTGGAATGGACTCCGAACAATGACCTACATGGAATGATCTGGTGTCACTCACCTCTCAATACCTGCCTTTGCTCACTTCACCCCCTCACTCACTCCCTTATAAATATGTGCTAGTTGGGCACCAGGGAATAGAGCCCAGAGCCAAATGGACAAAGGATGCACCGTTTGGGGGGTGGCGCCTAAAGGCGGAGACAGGCAGTGGACAACAGATAAACAGACGCGGTTCTTACAGATGGTAGCAAGCGCCCTAAAGGAAAATAAACGGAATATTGCAAGAGAGCCCGAGAGAGCCCCTGGAAGGATGAAATTGCAAACAGCAGAGGGGGAAGGGAAGCGGGGTAAAGGCAGGCTTGGAGGGGCTGCCTGTAAGTCAGATCCTGTAGCCTTGAAAAGCTGGCAAGGAATTTATTTTATTCTAAAGTCAAAGGTGTGACATATGGCCTCTCCCAGAGCAGTAGGGTATTGTAATCTGATTTGCATTTTGTTTGTTTATTTATTTATGATTTGCATTTTAAATGCCCATTCTAGGGGCAGCATAAAGGGGTCCCCAAGCACCTATGCAAGAGTCAAGGCACCGAAAGTCAGTAAGGCCCCATTTTGCATTTCACCAAAGTCCACAGGGCCACACATCCCATGCAGCACAGTGACCAGTAACTCAGTGCTTAGGGTGGTCATCCGTTTCTGCTGGCATTTATTTATGTTTCTCAACTTAAAGGAATCCTTTATTCCTTAGAACATTTTCCCCAAATATGTAACATTGAAATTTCTAAAAGCATGAACACTGACTTTTTAAAAGAACACATTTGAAAATGAAATATTTTTACAATAATACTGTAACCAAATGGTGGGGGGCCCTGCCTGGGCTATTACATAGAAAATCATGGTTTTAAAATGTCAAAAAAAAAACAAAACCGTTCAAACATAACGATAAGTTCATAATTTTTGAAAACATGAAATGAGCAAACCAATATTTTCTTAAGTTGCCTTCAAATATTCATATTCTTGGGCCTTTGGAAACATTTTTGAGAAGGTGGCAGATAATCTTTTTTTAATGACGAAAATAGCTGAAGCAAGTACAAATGCCAAGAAGTGAAAATTGACTGGACCATTGATTGGAAATGTGCACGTGTGAATGGAGAGCAGCAGGACTGACATCTTCCCCAGATTCCAGCAGGTCTTTCCCTGTCTGTGTCTGGGTGTCCCTCTGCTGCACAGCAGAGGGCAGTGGGGGACCGCATGTAGAAAGAGCCTCTTTCCCACCCATACCCCTCAGAGCCCGGTAGGTGTCACCCTCCTCAGCCCATAATTTAAAACTGGCTTCTGGGGGAAGGGAACCTGGGACCGCGGATTCCAGCTGATGCTCAATCTCTGAGCTTTCCTGCCATTTTAGGCGACAATTAAAGTCTTCTTGTGCTTGGACTTCAAAAGGGAGCCCATGAGAGAGTAGTGGATTCGCTCTGTTTGCAGGGACAGAATGCCTGGCTCTGAAAAGCTGATTCTGGTCAGTTATTATTTTGGTTTTTGTTTTTTTGTTTTTTAATTTTAATTCTCCAAAAGACTTTTGCTTTCATGTCCACTCTGGGCACAGGACTGTTGTGCAGTGGAATGGTTGGTAGTCAGCCACTGTCACTGACCTGCTTGCCTTGGCGTCTCAGCTCCGACACAACTGATGCCCTGGCAAGGTGTTCACTCCTCTCCAGGTCTCCGGGGTTAGGGGAGGAATCATATTCCCTGCTCCCCACCACTCCACATCCCCACACCCGCCCCCTCCCCAGGCCAAAATTCTCATGTGGAAACCCTTATTGCCAGCACCTGACAATGTGACTGTATTTGGAGATGGGCCCTTTGAAGAGGTGACTAGGTTAAAATGAGGCCGTTAGGGTTGGCCCCGATCCACCCAGGACTGATGTTCCTATGGAGAAGGGGTGGAGGCACCTGGAGCAGGGGCGCAGGGAGGAAGGACCCTCTGTGAGCCAAGGAGTGAGGCCTCAGGAGAAGCCAGTACTGCCAGCACCTTGGTCTCAGGTTCTCTTTCTCCAGAACCGTGAGGAAACAATGTTCCGTTGCGTAAGCCACACGGTTTTGTGGTATTTTGTGATGGTGACCCTCGGAAACTAATTGAAACGAATCCAGGCCTGATGAGAGAAGGACCACCTCACCACTCTGAGGAGGGGAATAAGCAGAATGATGGATGTCAAAAACTCCACGTTTAGTAATCTGGCACGAAGTAACCGTTGAATAAATGCTTAGTATTTAGACACCTACAGGTCATGGCCATTCCCCCACTTATGCCAATCCTGGTAACCACCCCCACCCCACATATAAATTCCTCATAAGTAGATTAGAAACCATCACCAGGAAAACATGCACAGAATTCCACCACCAATTCCACAGACCCATCTTGACCTTTGTTCCCCTTGCTGACTAGAGGCAGTTATCTCCAGACTTCTCGTGTGTTGGAACAGTGCCACCCAGCATCTCAGCAATGGCTTTCCATGCCCGTCTTATCCCCCACTTCCTCTTGTAAGTGTCGCCCCCTCTTTTCCCCTTTCATGGTCCAGCTTCCTGAGCTAGTCTACATGTGGCCCCACTTCCTTGCCTCTTCATTTTTTTTTGGTGAAAGATATCATACGTGTGAGAGTTGAAAGTACTTAAAGAATAATAAGACAGACACCAATATATTCACTATCCAGGTGAAAAATAGCATTTGGCCAGTACTTTAGAATTCTGGGTGCCGTTTTGTTCACCAGCCCCCTCCCTCCCAAATTTTATGCTGCTTTTCTTTCTTTCTTTCTTTCTTTCTTTCTTTCTTTCTTTCTTTCTTTCTTTCTTTTCTTTCTTTTCTTTTCTTTTCTTTTCTTTTTTAAAGATTTTATTTATTTATTCATGAGAGACACAGAGGGAGAGAGGCGCAGATACAGGCAGAGGGAGAAAGCAGGCTGCATGCAGGGAGCCTGACATGGGACTTGATCCTGGGTTTCCAGGATCACACCCTGGGCTGCAGGCGGCGCTGTACCACTGAGCCACCCAGGCTGCCCTTATGCTGCTTTTCTTTAGAGTTTGATTACCTATCATATTTCATTGAACCTTAGCCCCCAACAACTAGGAGACAAATCCTTATTTCATGTCTAAGAAAGAAAAAGTGCTGCTAAGTGTAATTGCACCACCGCTTATAAGATGCATTCCCCTATTTTCTGAAAGAGTAGACTGTGAGAAGTGTATTTTAGAATCAACAAAATGTGACCTGCATGCATCTGAATATCTTTTTAGTCTTGCTCGTTTTTGAGCTGTCTATACATGGAATCATACTCTACAAAGTCTTCTGATTAGCTTTTGTCCACGGTGTGCTTCTGAGACTCTCCCATGTGGGTGCAGGTGGCGGTGGTGTGTTCCATTACACTGCTGTGGAACATTCCACAGTGAGCTTATGCCACCACACATATTTGCATTACTGCAACTGGGCATCTCGGTTGTTTCTAGTTTTAGTGATTTGAACTGTTTTTTTTTTTTTTATTTATGATAGTCACAGAGAGAGAGAGAGAGAGAGAGGCAGAGACACAGGCAGAGGGAGAAGCAGGCTCCATGCAGGGAGCCCGACGTGGGATTCGATCCCAGGTCTCCAGGATCGCGCCCTGGGCCAAAGGCAGGCGCCAAACCGCTGCGCCACCCAGGGATCCCTGAACTGTTTTTATGCACATTCTTAAATGTATCTTCTGATGCACTCGGGTCTTTTAAGGGTATATATATCAGTGAAATCTCAAGTTCAAAGAAATGTCAAGCTCAAAGTTCAAGGAAATATATGTTCAAAGAACACATATATGTATACAAACATATATACATATATATGTTTGCATTTGTGAGGCAGTGTCAACATATTTCTGAAGTGGTAGCACCAATTGAAATTCTCCCTTTTACCTTCAGTGGATTTTCAGTAACCTTCCCCATTATACTGGAGCTAATTTTCCCATTTTTTAAGGTCATGGAAGTGTGTGCCTATGTTTTCCTCTAAAATTGTATTGCTCTGCCTTTCACCAGAGTTAGGAAATACTCTGTTTTTCTCTTCAATTCTAATAAAATTAGAATACTCTCTTTGCTTGGAAGTTTGGCAAGGCTCGCCTAAAAAGTTGAGTGGGCCTCGTGTTTTCTTTGGTTGTTTTTTTTTTTTTGTGTGTGTGTGTTTTCTTTGTTGCAAGATTTTAAGCTATTAATTTATTTACTTTTAGGGATAAACGGTGTTCAGATTTTCTACTTCTTGAGCTTCTTGTTAATTTGTATTTTACTCAGAATTCATCTGTTTCATCTAAGTGTTCAAATTTACTGGGAAAAAATGCTCATAATACTTTATTTAAATTCAGACATGTTTGTACCCCTCTTTTTTTTTTTTTTAAAAAAAAGATTTATTTATTCATGAGAGACACAGAGAGACAGAGACACAGGGAAAAGAAGGGATCCCAGGACCTTGGGATCACGCCCTGAGCCAAAGGCAGATGATCCTCCTATTTCTTGATGAGACTTATCAAGTAATCATTGTTTGCTTAGTTCATCTTCATATGTTTTTCATTAATTTCTGCTCATATCTTTCTTTCCCTCTACTTCTTTAGGTTTATTCTGATGTTGTTTTTTTATAACTTCTTAAATGCTTAGCTCAGCATTCCTCAGTGCTTCTTCTTTTCTACATATATGAATCCCTTTTTAATACCATTTTAGTGGAATCCCACAGGTTTTGTAAATTGAATTTTCATCTCATTTAGTTCTGTTTATTTTCTGATTTCTACCATGATTTCCTTGTTGACCCATGGGGTACTTAGAAGTTTTTAAAAAGTATTACTTTCAAACAAATTGGGTTTCCTAGTTATGTTTTCATTACTAATTTCTAAATAGATTGCACTATAGTCAAAGACAGTGGTCTTGGGGTGCCTGGTTGGCTTAGTTGGGTAAACATCAGCCTCTTGATTTAGGCTCAGGTCATGATCTCAGGGTCATAAGATAAAGTCCAGTGGGAATCAGGCTCCACACTCAGCTAGGAGTCTGCTTGCC